AGGAGGAGGAGGAGGAGGAGGAGGAGGCGCAGGAGAGTTCCCCCGCCTTCCTCCGTCGTGCTTCGGCCCGGGCCCCGCTCGCTCTCCCCTCTTTTCGGTTTCCTCGCCTTCCTGTCTCTGTCGACCCCCCGCCGCCGCTGGTTTCCATCGGAACAAATTTCAGAATGGCCCCTCCATCATCATCATCATCATCATCATCATCATCATCATCATCATCATCATCATCATCATCATCATCATCATCATCATCATCATCATCATCAGCAGCATCAGCATAATCATCATCATCAGCATCATCATCATCAGCAGCATCAGCATCAGCATCAGCATCAGCATCATCATTCTGCCGTCAGGAAGGTGCTATGGTCGCGTCCGTACGACTCACAGACCGTTAGCTCTCAGTTGGCAGGAGGAGCAGGAGGTTGAGGATGGTGGAGGGGGGAACGTGGCACAGGTCCACGACACAGTGTGTGCTCTTGGTATTCTCTACTTGTCCAGCATCTGTATCTCCATTTCCACGTTCTTTTGAGACCTACTGCTGCAGCACGATGGTTAAATTGTATTGACGCCGCCAGTGCTGCCTTTCCGCCGAGTGTTTTTCCCGGAAAGGGCGCGGGCCCAGGGTTCTCTTTCAGAGGTTTACTTCCAGAATCGATTTGAGGTGGGCCGGCGAATTTCTTTTGCGACAAATAATCAGGAAATGGTGGGTCGGCGAATTAAGATATTGAGGACGTCCCGAGCGAAACGCTTGGTTTGCAGAACTTGATGAGGATGTCTCGAGCGAAACGCTGGTTTTGTGTTATAGATGTCCTCTCCTGGAGACCAGAATTAATACGATCTCTCATGTGGAATGCTTGTTTTCACGTGCGCAGGTCTTGAGGACGTCTGGAGCGAGACGCTTGGTTTTACGCGTCCAGGTTGCCCAGGCAGATGTCTAGCATGAGGATTTGTTGAGGATGTCTCCAGCGACACGCTTGTTTTCACGCGTCCAGGTCGCCCAGGCGGATGTCTAACATGAGGGATGTGTTGAGGATGTTTTGAGCGAACCACTTGTTTTCACGTGTCCAGTTCGCCCAGGGGGATGTCTAGCATCAGGATGTGTTGAGGATGTGTTGAAGATGTGTTGAGCGAGACGCTTGTTTTCACTTGTCCAGGTCGCCCAGGCGGATGTCTGGCATGAGGATTTGGGCAGGATGTCTCGAGCGAAACGCTTGTCCCCAGCGAGTTCCGTAGCGCGTCCCCTTGGCACGTCCCGCGGTGCGTCCCCATGGCACGTCCCCTGGCACGTTGCCTGGCGCGTCCCTTGGGACGTTCCGCGGCGCGTCCTCATGGCATGTCCCCCTGTCAATCAGCTCTTGGGCAGCTACTCTGTGCTCCGGCAGCTCGAGCTCAAGATCCAGACCAGTTCGGTCAGGGCTCGGATGCAAAGGCGGACTCGATCTACAACGCTATAGAGCACAATCGTGACATTACACATCGCAATTCAGCACGGCGCAGCACAGCACAGCCCTCGGCACGGTACATCAAGATCGATCCACTCAGCACTGCATGTGCCTATCGCCCAATCAGGTGTCTTTGAAACTCTGCCATGCCTCACCTTTCTATATTTCTTTCTGGGTTCGTGGGTCGATCATGTTCCCGGAAAGGGCGCGGGCCCAGGGTTCTTTTTTAGAGGTTTACCCCCAGAATCGACTTGAGCTGGGTAGGCATTTTTTTGCGACAAATTGCAAGGAAAGGGTGGGCCGGCGAAATAAAATATTGAGGACGTCCCGAGCGAAACGCTTGTTTTGCAGAACTTGATGAGGATGTCTCGAGCAAAACGCTGGTTTTGTGTTATAGATGGTCCTCTCCTGGAGACCAGATTTTAGAGAATTGCTTGTTTTCACGTGCCCAGGTCTTGAGGACGTCTCGAGCGAGATGCTTGGTTTCACGCGTCCAAGTTGCCCAGGCAGATGTCTAGCATGAGGATTGAGGACGTCTGGAGCGAGACGCTTGTTTTCACGCGTCTAGGTCTAGCATGAGGATTGTTGAGGATGTCTCGAGCGAGACGCTTGTTTTCACGTGTCCAGGTCGCCCAGGCGGATGTCTGGCATGAGGATTTGATGAGGATGTCTCGAGCGACACGCTGGTTTTGTGTTGTAGATGGTCCTCTCCTGGTGACCAGATTTTAGAGAATTGCTTGTTTTCACGTGCCCAGGTCTTGAGGACGTCTCGAGCGAGACGCTTGGTTTCACGCGTCCAGGTTGCCCAGGCAGATGTCTAGCATGAGGATTGAGGACGTCTGGAGCGAGACGCTTGTTTTCACGCGTCTAGGTCTAGCATGAGGATTTGTTGAGGATGTCTCGAGCGTGACGCTTGTTTTCACGTGTCCAGGTCGCCCAGGCGGATGTCTGGCATGAGGATTTGATGAGGATGTCTCGAGCGAAACGCTGGTTTTGTGTTATAGATGGTCCTCTCCTGGAGACCAGATTTTAGAGAAGTGCTTGTTTTCACGTGCCCAGGTCTTGAGGACGTCTCGAGCGAGACGCTTGGTTTCACGCGTCCAGGTTGCCCAGGCAGATGTCTAGCATGAGGATTGAGGACGTCTGGAGCGAGACGCTTGTTTTCACGCGTCTAGGTCTAGCATGAGGATTTGTTGAGGATGTCTCGAGCGAGACGCTTGTTTTCACGTGTCCAGGTCGCCCAGGCGGATGTCTGGCATGAGGATTTGATGAGGATGTCTCGAGCGAAACACTGGTTTTGTGTTATAGATGGTCCTCTCCTGGAGACCAGATTTTAGAGAAGTGCTTGTTTTCACGTGCCCAGGTCTTGAGGACGTCTCGAGCGAGACGCTTGGTTTCACGCGTCCAGGTTGCCCAGGCAGATGTCTAGCATGAGGATTGAGGACGTCTGGAGCGAGACGCTTGTTTTCACGCGTCTAGGTCTAGCATGAGGATTTGTTGAGGATGTCTCGAGCGTGACGCTTGTTTTCACGTGTCCAGGTCGCCCAGGCACAGCATAGCCCTCGGCATGGTACATCAAGATCGATATTCTCAGAATTGTAACTTGGCACGTTCCGTGGCGCGTCCCGTGGCGAGCCCCCCTGGCACGTCGCGCGGCGCGTCCCCTGGCACGTCCCGTGGCACGTCTATTGGCACGTTCCGTAGAGCGTCCCCTTGGCACGTTTCGCGGTGCGTCCCCATGGCACGTCCCCTGGCACGTTGCCTGGCGCGTCCCTTGGGACGTTCCGTGGCGCGTCCTCCTGGCATGTCCCCCTGTTAGTTAGTTCTGGGGCAGCTACCTTGTGCTCCTGCAGCTCGAGCTCAAGATCCAGACCAGTTCGGTCAGGACTCGGATGCAGAGGAGGACTCGATCTACAACGCTATAGAGCACAATCGCGACATGGCACGTCCCCTGGCACGTTGCCTGGCGCGTCCCTTGGGACGTTCCGCGGCGCGTCCTCATGGCATGTCCCCCTGTCAATCAGCTCTTGGGCAGCTACTCTGTGCTCCGGCAGCTCGAGCTCAAGATCCAGACCAGTTCGGTCAGGGCTCGGATGCAAAGGCGGACTCGATCTACAACGCTATAGAGCACAATCGTGACATTACACATCGCAATTCAGCACGGCGCAGCACAGCACAGCCCTCGGCACTGTACATCAAGATCAATATTCTCAGAATTGCAACTTGGCACGTTCCCTGGCGCGTTCCCTGGCACGTCCCGTGGCGAGTCCCCCTGGCACGTCGCGCGGCGCGCGGCCCGTGGCACGGCCATTAGCACGTTCCGTAGCGCGTCCCCTTGGCACGTCCCGCGGTGCGTCCCCATGGCACGTCCCTTGGCACGTCGCCTGTCGCGTCCCTTGGGACGTTCCGCGGCGCGTCCTCCTGGCATGCCCCCCTGTCAGTTAGCTCTGGGGCAGCTACTCTGTGCTCCGGCAGCTCGACCTTAAGATCCAGATCCAGCGGAACGCTTGTCTTGCAGAAATTGTTGAGGATGTCTGGAGCGAAACGTTTGTTTTGTATTATAGATTGTCTTCTCTTGGGAACCAGATTTCAGAGGATCTCTCAAGTGAAATGCTTGTTTTCACGTGCCCAGGTCTTGAGGATGTCTCGAGCGAGACGCTTGGTTTCACGCGTCCAGGTTGCCCAGGCAGATGTCTAGCATGAGGATTTGTTGAGGATGTCTCGAGCGACACGCTTGTATTCGCGCGTCCAGGTCGCCCAGGTGGATGTCTAGCATGAGGATGTGTTGAGGAAGTCTCGATCGAGACGCTTGTTTGCATGTGTCCAGGTTGCCCAGGCAGATGTCTAGCATGATGTTGTGTTGAGGATCTATCGAGCGAGACGCTTGTTTTCACGTGTCCAGGTCGCCCAGGCGGATGTCTGGCATGAGGATTTGTTGAGGATGTCTCGAGCGAAACGCTTGTCCCCAGCACATTCCGTAGCGCGTCCACTTGGCACGTCCCGCGGTGCGTCCCCATGGCACGTCCCCTGGCACGTCGCTTGGCGTGTCCCTTGGACGTTCCGCGGTGCGTCCTCCTGGCATGCATGTCCCCCTGTCAGTTAGCTCTGCCTCAGCTACCTTGTGCTCAGGCAGCTCGACCTTAAGATCCAGATCAGTTCGGTTAGGACTCGGATGCAGAGGAGGACTCGATCCACAACGCCATAGAGCACAACTGCGGCATGGCACTTCGCAATTCAGCACGGCGCAGCACAGCACAGCCCTCGGCACGGTACATCAAGATCGATCCACTCAGCATTGCATGTGCCCGTCGCCCAATCAGGTGTTTTTGAAGCGTTGCCATTTCTTATATTTCAAGATTCCTTTCTGGGTTCGTGGGTCGATCATGTTTTCCAAATGTGCCCCCGAGATGTTTCGATCTGTTCCATGCGATCAGTTATCATTCCTGGTAGTATGGTTGAGGGCTCTGGGTCCCGAAATTGACTTCGGGATGCAGAAAATTAGGCGACTGTCAGCAGTGGAGAACTCACGACGTCGGAGGTCCGGGAACCCGATCGCAGGAGATTGCAGACTCCCTCGGCGGGTTCTCCCTCCCGACGCTCGACGAGGGGTTCGACGAGATCCGCTTCGAGTGGGCCGACTGTGACTGTGCCGAGGACAGGTCGCCGCGGGGGCGAAGGGGCTGTGAGGCTGCGGGGGCTCGGCAGAGGAAGGGTACGAGGACGACCGAGGAAGCGGATCGAGCACGACTCGACAGTTGGTTGCTCCTCCTCGGGCCTCCCCGCGCGCCGTGCCGTGCGCGCCGACTGAGCCGTGCCTGTGCCGTGCTGGGGCTCTGGCGTGCGGAGTGTGCCATGCTGTGCCCTGCCCACCTGTCGTGCCGTGCCGTGCCTGGGCGGCAGCATGCGGCACGTGTGCCGCGCCGTGCCGTGCCGTGCCCGCGTGCCGTCGCGTGCCGTACCCGAGTTCCAGCATGCGGAAGACGCGCCCGCGTGCCGTGTCGTGCCCCGCCCGCGCGCCGTGCACCGTGCAGTGCCGCGCTCGGCGTCCTGCGGCACGGGCCACCCTCGCCAAGTCCGCGCTCCCTGGTGTGGGTTTGCCACGCGTGTGCTCGTGCAGTGCTGCTGTTTCTGGCGTCTCTGCGCCGCGGGAGCGCCGGTCTGAAGAGCAGCGGCGCTCTGCCCGTGCAACTGTTGCAGGCTATGGCCGAGCATTTTCTTTGGGTGGAGGGCAAACGGTGAAATCTGAAATGCTGTCTCGATGGGTTTCCAGGTGCAAAAGCCCACATGGATTTCACCCCGAGCCCTCCACCCTAAGAACATGCTCAGTATGACGACGAGTGGGCTCCATTCTCCCCCCTGGACTTCACAGGCGAGTGCGCGCGACGCCAACGCGAGAGCGCCATATTGACAGCCGCCTGTGCTCCATGCGCGTATCTGTTGGGACTGGAAGACGCGTGTGCGCGGCGCGACGGCCAGGGCCCCATGCGGAGAGCGACCTGTGTTCCATCCTCATAATTTTGTCAGGGGTTTCAGGCTTCGAAGTCCGACTTTTGGAAAGAAGTCTCCGGCGAAACGACTCGCCCGCTAAAGACAAGCCCGGTGGTGCGACAAGGAGGCGCCGTCGAGAGGGAAATAGGGTAGGAGGAGGAGGAGGAGGAGGAGGAGGAGGAGGAGGAGGAGGAGGAGGAGGAGGAGGGGGTGAAGGTGGTGAAGGAGAACAGGAGGAGGGAAGGAGTATGGGGAGGAGGGTGAGGGGGAGGTGCAGGAGGTGTGATTAATGGAAATGGGGTGGGCGAAAGGAGGAGAAAAGGAGCAGCAGTGTTGTTCTGCTCAAGACTAAGGCCCAAACATAGGAAGGCTGGGACACACCTCCAGAATATCACGTCGTCGTCGTTTTCGTCTTCATCCCTTGCCTTGAAGGAGCACCTGCGGAGCTGGGTGCTGGAGTGCAAGACCAGTCTGGTCGTTCCCAGCCTGCAGCCGGGCGAGTGGTTCCTCTCGCAGAAGCAGGCTTGGCACCAGGCGCCAGCCCACCGCTCGCCCTGGCTTGGCCTGTTGGCTTGCCTGGTTGCCTGCCTGCTCGCTTGCGTCTCGCTCGATCGCTTGCTCGCTGTCTGTTTGCGGGGATGACGGCCCTGCGGTCAAGACTGAATTATCGTTGGTACGCGGGCTCGCCAGCGCGTTGAGTGGCCAACGCGAGTTGGCCAAGCTCCACCGGGCGGTGGGTTGGGCGTTGGGCACCACCCAGACCCCAGGGCGTAGAGGTCAGAGTGAGGACACTGTAAGAAGGTGTGGGGTCAAATAGGGAAAGAAACGGGGATGGATTTGCGCATGGGCTGAGTGTTTTTATTGGAAGGGGCTTCGGTCCAGGGTTCTCCTTTAGAGGTTCTACCCCCGGGGACGACTTGAGACAGGCCGGCGAAATCATTTGCGATGAATGACGAGGTACATTTTTCTTTTTGAGCAATTGCGTTTCGCGCGTGCGCACTCGAGGAACATGTACCCCCCATGTCCGACCCTCCTTGCCTAACGGGGTCTGCAGACCCCCGCTTTCCCTTGTTAAACAGATGCGGAGCGTTTTGCGCAGAATGAACAAACACACAAAACAAAACAAAAAACAACACACACACAATACACAAACACACAACAAACACAACACACAACAACACAACACAACACACACACACCAAACAAACACAGTATGTATCGAGGTTTGGAGACCCTAGAATCTTCGACTGGTCGTTGTGCAAGTATGGGGAAGTGGACTCTTGGCGTGCCCGCTCGAGCATGGCGCGTCCCGCGCGCTGGGATTCCGAGGATGCCTCGAGCCACCGCGCCTGGTTTGCAGCAGGAAGGGTTGGCTCTTGCGTGCTCGCTCGGGGATGGCGCGCCCTGCGTGCCGAGTCTCCGAGGACGTCTCGGGCGAAGCGCTTACCTTGCAGTGATGGAAGGGCCTGGGCGCCCCAGGATGCCCAGGTGGTCCTGGGAGTGAAGCCGGACCGTTATTTGCAAAGGATCGTGGCCCTGGGAGCGCGGATGCCGCGTAATTTGCAAAGGGTCCTGGCCGTGGGAGCGCGGAGCGTAGTTGACGAGGGATCCTGGCCCTGCGGGGGCGGACACAGCGTAATTCACTAGGGAACGTGGCCCTGGGAGCGCGGACACAAAGTAATTCACGAGGGAGCGCGGCCCTGGGAGCGTGGACGCAGCATAGTTTACAAGGTATCGTGGACCTGGGAGCACGGACTCAGCGTAATTTACGATGGATCGTGGCCCTGGCAGCGCGGACGCAGGGTAATTTACTGGGGAACGTGGCCCTTGGGGGGCTGACACAGTGTAATTTACTGGGGAGCGTGGCCCTGGGAGTGTGTGGAAACAGCGTAAGTCACGAGGCATTGCATTTTTTTTGCATTGCAGCTTTGCCATTCTAGCTCCAGCTTTGGATTCCAGGGAGGTCCAGGGAGGGTTCGAAGCCCACGGCGCCAACCACTTGGGCGTCTTGGACCGATCGGTCGGCGACTCGGAGCCCTCTTGGACCGTCTTAGGGGCCTCTTGAGGTCGTCTTGGAGCGATCTGGGGCTCTGGAAAACCGCCCCGGGGAGTTCCGGCATCCTTGGGCTGATCTTGCGGGGACCTTGCCGGGGTACTTATCGTCCGGGGACTTCCAGGGGCCAGCCCGCGCGCGCGAACTAGAAATATCGTTTACCAGTTGCCAGAGATTTTACCACGCTTCTGGCCCGTTGGGCCGGCGAATCAAGATTGTAGAAGGGTCTCGGCCTCTGGGAGGCCTCTCGGGGCGCTCTCGAAGCCATCTTGGAGCCATCTGGGGCCCTTTTTGGGCCTCTCTTGGGCCATCTTGGAGGCCATCGACCAAGAAAGAAGGCGGCGTCAATTGGGAGCCCCCCGTCGGAACCCTCAGAATCGCCTCTTGGAGCTCTCTTGGGGCGCTCCTGGGGCGGTCTTGGGCGCTCCTGTGGCCGTCTGGGGCCTCTCTTGGACCCCTCTTGGGGATCCCTGGGTCCATCCTGGAGCCATCTCGAGGCTTCAGACGCCCATCGGAAGCGAAAACGCGAGAGGCAAACAAAAACATTGGTTTCTTTTTTTGGGTTTTGGACAGTTGTTGGCCTCTCCAGGGCGTCCATGGGAGGCTCTTTGGCCACTTCGAGCCGTCTTGGAGGGATCCTGAAGCCTCTTGGAGGTCTGTTGCAAGCTACCTTTGGCCATGTTAGGCTATCTTCAGCGATCTTGGAGGTCAGCTTTAGCTCTTTGGGGCCTTTTTGGAGCCATCTTGGGCCATCTTGGACGCTCTGATCGCTCGCGAAAGGCCCCGTCCAGGTCCAGGGGGAGGGGGTACCGAAGAGGGAGAAGGGGGTATCAAAACCACTCACGCACTGAAGGGCTTGTGGGATTTTAGCCCCCTCCTCTGGGCCCGTCAAAATCTCCTCTTGGGGCCCTCTTCGGCACCTCTTGGTTGCTTCTTGGAGGCTTCTTGGGGCGTCTTGGGCGTCTCGTGACAGTCCCGGGAGCCTCTTGGAACGTTTTGGCTGCCTCCTGGGGGGGAGAAGCTCTTGAGGCCTCTTGAGGGCCTTTTTCAGACCGCTTGGGAGTCTTTGGAAACCTCTTGTGGGTTTTCTGGGAGCCCCTTGGGCGCCTCTTGAGGCCCTCTTGAAAACCGGGCCCTCTGAGGACCACGAAAGAAAGAGAAGGAGAACCACATAGAGAGCCCAAAGAAGGAGAAACAAGTAGAGAGCCGCGTCAGCTGCCATAACAGTTCCCAAAACAAAGTAAGGCGCTGGGGCATGAGAAATTTTCGCTTCAAGCGGCCTAGACTTGGGGAGGAGAGGGAAAGCATGAGGAGGGAGGGAGGGAGGGAGGGAGGGAGGGAGGGAGGGAGGAGAGAGAGGAGGAGGAGAAGGAGAGGAGTGAGTGAGTGGAGTGAGTGAGTGATGAGTGATGTGGTGAGTGAGTGAGTGAGTGAGTGAGTGAGGGAGGATGAGGCGGGAGGAGGAGGAGGAGGAGGAGGAGGAGGAGAGAGGGGAGGAGAAAGAGAGAAGGAGGAGGGATGGGGGAGGAGAGGGAGGAGGAGAGGGAGAAGGAGGATGATGAGGATGATGATGAGGATGAGGATGAGGATGAGGAGAGAGGAGGAGGAGGAGAGGAGGAGGAGCAGGAGGAGGAGGAGGACGAGGAGGAGGAGGAGGAGGGAGGAGGAGGAGGAGGAGCAGGATGAGGATGAGGAGGAGGAGGAGGACGAGGAGGAGGAGGAGCCGACGTACCCCTCTGTCAGCGCTTGCTGATCATCATTCGTGTAAGACCACCCCCACCCATAAAATGGAGTGGGGGTGGGGTAGTCGTGTTGTGGTGACATCATGTTGAGCGGAATCATGTTTCGGCTACGGGGCCAGCTCCCCTTTTCACATTCCCACCCCGCGCCCGTTAGGGCGGCGAACCACCCACGGCTTTCTCTATTAGGGTTTAGGGTTCATTTGGTAGTCGAGCTTCTCTTTCTTAGGGCTCCACGATTCCAATCGGTTTGGCGTTCTTTCTCATGTGTACGACATACAGTGCTTTGTGTATCACACGTACACAGATACCTTCTTGGGTCTAGATATGCGCAATTCGGGGTTTAGGGTTGACGCTTTACGTCGGGGGAAAGGGGTTTGGGGTGAAACGCCGTGCGGGCGTTTGATTGTGCGCTTGTGGCGCCGGCTCCGCTCGCTCCGCTCGCTCCGCCGATGCCGCTCCTCTTGAACTGCAACATCCAGCTGGCGCGCCCAGGCGCGCCCGGAGCCCTGGGCGCCTGCCAAGTCACCGTGGCGGGCGCCTGGGGTGCTTTTGGAAGGCTCAATCGCCACGGAACGACCCTGGCGCGCCCAGGATCGCCCTGGGCACTGGGCTGCCACTTCACCGTGGCGGGCGCCTGGGGTGCCCTGGGAGGGCCCCGGAAGCTGCCGAATCGCCACGAATGTCCCTGGCGCGCCCAGGATCGCCCTGAGCCCTGGGCGGCTGCCAATTCACCGTGGCGGGCGCCTGGGGTGCCCTGGGAAGGCCCTGGGGGCTCCCGAATCGCCGCGGAACCCACTGGCGCGCCCAGGATCGCCCTGGGCCCTGGGCGGCTGCCAATTCACCGCGGCGGGCGCCCCTGGAAGGGCCCTGGGGCCTCCCGAATCGCCCCGAACGTCCTTGGCGCGCCCAGGATCGCCCTGGGCCCTGGGCGGCTGCCAATTCACCGTGGCGGGCGCCTGGGGTGCCCTGGGAAGGCCCTGGGGGCTCCCGAATCGCCACAGAACGTTTGTATCGCATCGGCATGCATTGGCCTGGTGCCGGAGATAGACAAAGAGAGAGAGAGAGAGAGACAAATAGAGACAGAGAGAGAACACTAGAGAACGATATAGCGAGAAACGATTAGTATGAGGTGATCACGGCGAAAAGAAAGTGACAAGACACAATCAAAGTTTGAGGGTGAAAGAGCATTCCTCTCGGTAAAGACCGTATGACAACGATGAGGGGCTCCACAATCCCCCGGCCTCGAGAACGGGGGATTGTGGAGCCCCTCGGGGTTCCAGGGCGCGGGCGCGAGGCTGTCACACTGAGTTCGCGCGTGCGTCTTTCAGTGGTGTGCGTACTCTGTGGCGTCCTCCTCTTCGTCCGCCTCCCCCTCTTCCTCCTCCTCCTCCTCCTCCTTCTTTGTTTCTCTCTCCCCCCTCCCCCCCCAAAAGAAAACGTATCCGTTTTTTTATGTCGTTTTGTTTGTTGTGTCTTTTCGGGGGGGGTCGGCGGCGAAAAAAAGGAGTCCGACGTGGCCTCATCTGCCCTCCCCCCTAGACGGATTCCTATTGAACGCCCCCACAAGAAGGATTTATGGTGAAATCCTCTACAGAAGGATTCTTATCGAAACCCTCCACTGAACGATTCCAATTGAAATCCTCCACATATGGATTCCGATTGAAATCACCCGCAGAAGGATTGATATTGAGATGCTCCGATAGAAAGAACCCCCAATTGGCATTGCATTGGCATTGGTTTGGCAATGGCTTGGCATCCCATTGGCATTGCGTTGGCATTGCGCTTGGCAGTGCTTTACTAGTGTGCTTGCATTTCGCAAGCATTGCGCTGGCGAGTCCTACTGGAACCCTCCGCAGAAGGACTCCGATCGAAACCTTCTACAAGAAGGACTCCTATTGAAACCCTCCACAAAAACTGTTCATATTGTTACCCTCCACAGAATGATTCCATGCGAAGCCCTCCACATAAGGATTCCGATTGAAATCTATCACAAAGGATTTCCGCCATTGGCAGTGCATTGGCATTGGGTTGGGATCGTTGTGGCATTGGTGTGGCATTGCGTTGGCACTGCGTTGGCATTGCGCTGGCATTGCGCTGGCGAGTTCCAACACCTCCCTTAGCATAATTATTCCTGTTGAACCCCCACAAGAAGGATTCCGGTTGAAGCATCCCACAAGAAGGGTTCACATTGAATTCCTTTACGGAAGGATTCCATTCGAAGCCCTTCATAGAAGGATTCTTCTTGAACCCGGCCACAAACGATTTCCCCCATTTGCATTGCATTGGCATTGAATTGGGGTCGCTTTGGCATTGGTTTGGCATTGCGTTGGTAGTGCGTTGGTATTGCGCTGGCGAGTTCTAATGGCTCCCCCCGTAGACGGATTCCTATGAAAACCTTGCACAAGAAGGGACCCTTTTGAAAGCCCCCACATGAAGGATTCAAAGTGACCCCCCCCACAGAAAGATTCCAATCGAAACCCTCCACGGGAGGATTCCTATCGAAATCCTCCGAAGAAGGATTCGTAACCAAATCTAACACAAGGATTCCGAGTGAAATCTGTTGGAAGACAGGAATCCCGCCATCGGCATTGGTTTGGCACCGATTTGGCATCGCATTGGCATTGCGAAGCCCTCCACATAAGGATTCCGATTGCTATCTACCACAAAGGATTTCCCCCATTGGCAGTGCATTGACATTGTGTTGGGATCGCTGTGGCATTGGTGTGGCATTGCGTTGGCACTGCGTTGGCATTGCGTTGGCATTGCGCTGGCGAGTTCCAACACCTCCCTTCGCAGAATGATTCCTGTGGAACCCCACACAAGAAGGATTCCGGTTGAAGCATTTCACAAGAAGGGTTTACAGTGAATTCCCTCACGGAAGGATTCCATTCGAAGCGCTCCATAGAAGGATTCTTCTTGAACCCGACCACAAACGATTCCCCCCATTGGCATTGCATTGGCATTGAATTGGGATCGCTTTGGCATTGGTTTGGCATTGCGTTGGTAGTGCGTTGGCATTGCGCTGGCGAGTCCTAATGGCTCCCCCCGTAGACGGATTCCTATGAAAACCTTGCACAAGAAGGGACCCTTTTGAAAGCCCCCACATGAAGGATTCAAAGTGACCCCCCCCGTACAGAAAGATTCCAATCGAAACCCTCCACGGGAGGATTCCTATCGAAATCCTCCGAAGAAGGATTCGTAACCAAATCATCCACATAAGGATTCCGAGTGAAATCTGTTGGAAGACAGGAATCCCGCCATCGGCATTGCAGTGGCATTGGTTTGGCAACGATTTGGCATCGCATTGGCATTACGTTTGTATTGCGATGGCAGTGCGTTAGAAGTGCGTTGGAATTGCGTCGACATTGCGCTGGCGAGTCCTACTCAAACACTTCATAAAAGGATTCCTATTCAAAAAAGGATGCCTATTGAATCCCACCCGCGAGAAGGATTCAAATTGAAATCCTCAAGAGAAGGATTCCATGCGAAGCCCTCCATAGAAGGTTTCCTATTGAAATCCCCCGATGAAGGGCTCTTAGATGGATTGCTAGTGAAATCTACCACAAACAATTCCCACTATTGGCATTGGTTTGGTATTGCGTTGGCACTGCTTCGGCATTGCGCTGGCGAGTTCGAATGGCTCCCACGACAGAAGGGTTCCTTACCTTCCACAAGAAGGGATCCTTTTGAAAGCCCCCCACATAAAAAGATTCATACTTAAATCCCCCACGGAAGGATTCCAATCGAAACCCTCCACAGGTAGGATTCCTTTTGGAATCTACCACTAAGGATACCCCCCATTGTCATTGCATTGGCATTGAATTGGGATCGCCTTGGCATTGGTTTGGCATTGCGATGGCAAAGTTTTGGCATTGGGTTGGCATTGCGCTGGCGAGTCCCAGTGGCTCCCTCCGCAGACGGACTCCGACTGAAACCCTCCACAAGAACGATTCCGATTGAATCCTCCCACATGAAGGATTTCTAGTGAAACCCTCCACATGAGGATCTCGATCGAAACCCTACACATAAGCATTGCTATTGAAATCCTCCGAAGAAGGATTCCTAATGACATCATCCACAAAGTATTCTTATTGAAATCCATCGAACGAAAGGATTCCCCCATTGGCATTTCATTGGCAGTGGTGTTGGTTGGGAATGGATTTGTATCGCATCGGCATGCATTGGCCTGGTGCCGGAGATAGACAAAGAGAGAGAGAGAGAGACAAATAGAGACAGAGAGAGAACACTAGAGAACGATATAGCGAGAAACGATTAGTATGAGGTGATCACGGCGAAAAGAAAGTGACAAGACACAATCAAAGTTTGAGGGTGAAAGAGCATTCCTCTCGGTAAAGACCGTATGACAACGATGAGGGGCTCCACAATCCCCCGGCCTCCGCTCCTCCCCCCCCTCCCCTCGGGGGCGGAAAAGAGGGGGGTGATGACTGGGGGGGGGGTGGATCTCATGGCGTGGGCCATGATGTTTCCCCAGATCTCATGGCGCCCCTTCTTGTCTCATCACGTCCCTGGCCCCCCTGCTGGGCCGCGCACACGCCGCCCGTCATGATTTGCACCCCCCCTCTCTTAGACACCCCCCCCTTGGCCGCTCCCGATCCCCGAGGCGCGGCTGCGGCTGCGCGAGGGCCACGTGCGGTTCCAGAAGGCCCTGAAGTCCGGCGCGGTCGGCCCGGCCCACGGCGCGCCGCGGGCGGAGGCGGCCGCGGAGAGACCGCCGCCGCCGCCTCTGTCGACATCGCCGTCCTCGGTTTGGCGTCGTCGTCGTCGTCGCTTTCGCTTCTGTCGTCGTTGTCGCCGCTTTCGTTGTCGCAGTTCTCGTTGTCGGCGTCGTTGTTCGATAAGCGCTCTTTCCCCACACTTTTTTTTCTTATACTTCGAGAGAGAGAGAGAGAGCAATCCACCCCACGCCCACCTTGATAATGCTAATATTAGTCGACACGCCTCCACGGCGACGGTTGCGCATCGCGACGATTCCAATTTCACAAATCGTTTTATATTTTTCTTCGGTAGCAAATCCAATGTTTCCTAGAAATGGCGGGGGCCCAGGGTTCTCTTTTAGTAGGTTTACCTGTGGAATCGACGTGAGACGGGCCGGCGATATTATTTTGCGATAGATTCTGCGATGAACAACAAGGTCGAGACGGGTCAGCGAATTAGAATTTGAGGATGTCCCGAGCGAATCGCTGGTTTTCGACAGTCCGATCGATAGAACAACAGATCAAGTGATCATTTTCGTTCGTTGCTGATGTCTCGAGCACAGCGTTCGTTCTGCACAGCTTCTTGAGGATGGCGAGGGGGCGCGGCCCTTGGAGCGCGGACTTGGCATAGTTTACGAGGGATCGTGGCCCCGGGGAGAGCGGGCGCAGAGCAAATACGAGGGATCGCTGCCCTAGGAACGCGAACGCAGTGTCATTTACGAGGGATCGTGGCCCTTGCCTTGGCATCGCTCGGACGTGTGCATTTTTCTTTCGGCGAGGACCATCGAGGAGCATCCTTGATCATTTGGCGAAAAAAACACGCACGAAACCGAAAAAACACAGGGAACGGACGTCCGAGCGATGGCGAGTTCGGGGGCTGACGCAGTGTAATGTGCTCGGGAACGTGGCCCTGGGAGCGCGGACGCAGCGCAATCGACGAGGGAGCGCGGCCCTGGGAGCGCAGACGCAGCGCAGTCCGTGGGGTCGTGGCCTAGGGAGAGCGGGCGCAGCGTAATCTACGATGGATCGTGGCCCTGGCAGCGCGGACGCAGCGCAACTTACGATGGATCGTAGCCCTGGGAGCGCGGACGTGTTATAATTCATGAAGGATCCTGGCCCTGGGTCAGGGACGTTCCGCGGCACGTCGCCTGACGCGTTCCCTGGCACGTTCCCTGGCGCGTCGCCTGGCACGTCCCCTGGCTAGTTCCATGGCGCGTCCCGCGGCGAGTCTCCCTTGCACGTCGCGCGGCGCGTCCCCTGGAGCGTCCTGTGGCACGTCCACTGCCACGTTCCGTAGCGCGTCCCCTCGGCACGTCACGCGGTGCGTCCCCATGGCACGTCCCCTGGCACGTCCCCTGTCGCATCCCTCGGGACGTTCCGCGGCACGTCCCCCTGGCATGTCCCCCCCTGTCACGTAGCTCTGGCGCAGCTACTACGTATGTGCTCAGGCAGCTCGAGCTTAAGATCCAGATCGGTTCGGTCAGGACTCGGATGCAAAGGAGGACTCGATCAACAACGCTGTAGAGCACAAACGCAATTCAGCACGGCGCAGCACAGCACGGCCCTTGGCACGATATCAAGATCGATACACTCAGCTTTGCAACATGGTGCGTTCCCTGGCACGTTCCGTGGCGCGTCCCATGGCGAGTCCCCCTGGCATGTCGCGCGGCGCGTCCCCTGGCGCGTCCCGTGGCACGTCCATTGGCACGTTCCGTAGTGCGTCCCTTTGGCGCGTCCCGCGGTGCGTCCCCATGGCACGTCCCCTGGCACGTCCCCTGGCGCGTCCCTTGTGACGGTCCGAGGCACGTCCCCCTGGTATGTCCCCCTGTCAATTAGCTCTGGGGCAGCTACTACGTATGTGCTCAGGCAGCTCGAGCTTAAGATCCAGATCAAATCGGTCAGGACTCGGATGCAAAGGGGGACTCATCCACAACGCTGTAGAGCACAATCGCGGCATGGCACATCGCAATTCAGCAAGGCGCAGCACGGCACGGCCCTTGGCACGGTACTTTCAAGATCGATACACTCAGCATTGCAATTGCCCGTCGTCCAGTCAGGTGTCTTAAAAACGTTGCCATGCCCTGCATTTCTAGATTCCTTTCGGGGTTCGTGGGTCGATCATGTTTTGCGTGTTTTATACATTTTTTTGCGTTTCTGAATTGCGCCGTCGCACGTGCGCGATGGTGCGATTTGGGTAATGTCCCAGGTAATTTCGTGCGCGGCAGTTTTTCCCGGAAAGGGCATAGGCCCAGGGTTTTCTTTTCGTTGGTTTCCCCTTCGCCTCGACGTGATAAGGGCCAGCGAGTTCAGTTTGCGATGCGTAACGAGTTCGAGGTGGGCTGGCGAATTAAGATGTGAGAACGTCCCGAGCGAAACGTTGTTTTGTTGTAAATTCCGATCGATGAAGCAAATGGTAACGTAAGCACTGTCGTTAAGGTCGGATGTCTCGAACGAAACGCTTGTTGTACATACTTTGTTGAGGACGCCTCGAGCGAAACGTTTGTTTTGTGCTATAGGTCATTCCTCTCCTGGGGACCAGGATTCAGAGGATGTCTCAGGTGAACTGCTTGTTTTCACGTGCCCAGGTCGTGGGGATGTCTCGAGCGAGACGCTTGGTTTCGTGCCTCCAGGTTGCCCAAAGGATGTCTAACATCAGTACTTGTTGAGCACTTCTCGAGCGATACGCTTGTTTTTCACGCGTTCAGGTCGTCCAGGCAGATGCCTAGCATGAGTATGTGTTGAGGGTGTCCTCTCTCTCTCTCGAGAGACGCTTGTTTTCGCTTGTCCAGGTCGACCAGGCGGGTGTCTAGCATGAGAATGCGTTGAGGCTGTGTTGAACGAAAGGTTTGTTTTCACGCGTCCAGGTCGCCCAGGCGGATGTCTATAATAAGGATTTGTTGAGGATGTCTCGTGGGAGACGCTTGCTTTCACGTGTCCACTTCGCCCAGTCGGATATCTAACATGAGGATGTGTTGAGAAGGTCTCGAGCGAGACGCTTGCTTTCACGTGCCTAGGTCGCCCAGGCGAATGTCTAACATGAATATGTTGAGGATTTCTCGAGCGAGACGCTTGCTTTCATGTGTCCAGGTCGCCCAGGCAGATGTCTAGCATGAGGAGGTGTTGAGGATGTGTTGAGCGAAGCGCTTGGTTTTACGTGTCCAGGTTGCTCAGGTAGATGTGTAGCATGAAGAGGTGTTGATAATGTCTCGTCTCGAACGAGACGCTTGGTTTCTCGTGTCCAGGTCGCCCAGGCGGATGTCTAACGTGAGGATATGTTGAGAATGTCTCGAGCGAAACGCTTGTCGCAGTAGAGTGCGTCGCAGTCCAACCCCGCCGGTCCGTGGGGCGTCTGCGTCCTGGCGTACCCCCTGGCGCGTCCCTTGCGACGTTCAGGCGTGACGTGCCCTGGCACGTCCCGCAGCACGCCACTCGGCGTGGCACGTTACCTGGCTCGTTCTCTGCCGCGTTTCCTTGCTTGTTCTCAGGCGTCTCCCCTGCCCTTTTCGTGGCGGGCCCCTTGAAACATCTTTTGGCATGACGTCCTGGGGTCGCCCCACGGCATGCGCTTGGGCACGTCCCATGGCAGGTCCCTGACACATCCAGGGCACGTCCCCTGTTGCGTCCCCCGACACGTCCCCTGGTGCTTCCCCTATTGCGCCCCTGACGCATCCTGTGGCGCGTCCGTGAGCCTGTGCCCCGTGTCGTGTTTTTCCTTTTCGGAGCTGAGTCGGGTTTTCAGGCAGAGTTGATTGAACGTCCTCCATTTTTGCACTTCAACTAGCTTAGGACTCGAGTTCCAAGGAGGACTCGATTCACAAAGCTATAGAGCACAATCGCGGCATGAAACATCACAGTTCAGCACGGCACAGCACATCGCAGCCTTGGGCACGGTACATCAAGATTGATAAATTGAGCATTGCAATTGCCCGTCGCCCGACCAGGTGTCTTGAAAACGGTGCCAGCCTCGCATTTCCGTGTCCTTTTCTCGGTTAGTGGGTCGGCCATGTTAATTAAAAACAGGTGGCCTTTTATTCAGCACGTTTTTGTTTTTTTGGTTTTATGATACTGTTTCTTCCCCAGCCCTCGGCGGTCGCACTTTTCGCAAGTTGCCAGGGACCTCTCCTGGGGCACGTGCAGCTGACGACGCTCCTCGGGCCACAGGCTCTAGAGAGAAGTTCCCCAATCAGTGCTTGCACTGAAGAGGTCCCGGGGAAGTGGTCGGGAGGTCGGGGGCCCGTGTCTCGAACAAGTCGAGGCGTCGGGTGTCTGGGTCCTGTCCTCCTCCCCTGCCTTCCCCCCCCCCTGCGCAGGCTTGCTCACTCGTCGTGCACGTCCTTCACGTCATGCATGCAGGTCGCACTGTTTTTTTCCCGGTCAGTGCTTGCACTGAAGAGGTCCTAGCGGAAGTTGAAAGACTTGGCGAAAGTTTCCCGCCGATTTTGTCAGCAGGCTGGGTTCCCGGGCTCCCGGTTCTGGGTTCTTGGGTTGCCGGTTGTTGGTTCCGGGCCGATCGTGGGTTCTGGGTTCCTTGGCTCCCAGGTTCCCGGTCGATCCCCTCAGGGAAAGCCATCCACTGATTGGGTTTTTTTTGTATAATTCTAAAAATATAACATCTGATGTGGTGGGTGTGCGGGTGGCTTGGGTCGCCTTCATTTTCGGCCTGTGGGTGGCCGCTGCGGGTCCCATGAGGGACACGCGGGTCAGGATGGACCTTGGTCGGCAACTACAAAGTGCATGGTTACGCCAGGGTTCGGTTTGCGATCGGCGCCGTTGGGGCCTGAGGGGTACGATAATGTCCTCGGGGCGCGGCGGAGATCTCTATCAAGGTCCCCTCCCTTCCAGAGTGCGCTGGTTGCAGTCCACACCTTTTCCGCAAACCACACCCTTCGGAGTCGTCGATTTGTGAGGGGCCCAGGGATTTGTTTTCATGAGATTGCGTCGCCGTCGTCGTGGTCGTCGTCGTATTCGCCGTCGTGGTGTCGTCAGTCGTCGTCGTCGACGTC